ATAGATCTCTATTTTAGTATTTTGTCGAAAGCGCTTTTTTTCACGAATTTATATATTACGAATTTATTTGACGATTTTTGATTTATATCACGAATTTATTTGTTTTATTATTGTTATTAGTTATTCATTGAAAAATGAGTCTCAGGCGTGCTGTTACGCTTTAAGATTTTAGACTATAGCACATTTCTAATAGGTTTAACGAATTACATGTCATTTATTTGAATTCAAATTTATTTTAATGACTTAGTATTTACTAAAAAGATGTAATTTTTTTTAAAGAAAAGTTGTTATATGGATTTGAATGATTGTTTTGAATTCTTCTGAATTTTGTGAATTTGAAATGTACCTAAGTTAGTAGCGAGCGAAGCGAGCTTGGTTTGCGAAGCAAACCATATAAGATTGGGGAGCAATTTTCGGGGGTTGGCGAGCGTTAGCGAGCAGGGGACGCAGACCACTAGTATTTTGTATTTTCTCTTTCATGTTATGAAGGATTCTGGAAAACTACGTTAATCAAAATACTTGAAGATATCCCACACTGTAAGAAATTATGTATCATAATACCAAAAATGGTGGCAACTTACTTAACAACAAAATGGTGTTCAACTGCATCAAGAATGTTCTAGTCTTGGCGAACAAAGAACACGCCAAGGTTCTAGTACACTACTTGGTGTGAAATAGCCGCCACCCTTATTTGCATTCAGTATCACTAAATTTTTTAATTGTAAAATACAATTTGCACATCAGAGACACTAAATGTATTTTTGGAATACAAAAGTAAAAATCATTGATTTAGTATGTTATTTACACTAATTCACAAAAGCAAAATGTTTTGGTTAATCAAATTTAAAAGTAGCATAGAAAGAATAAAAAGATAAACTCGAGCAAGGCGAAACAGAACGGAAGCTGATAGCAATTATGCATGCTAAAATCACTTAATACAGTTCATAAGAAAAAGAATACAAAATATTTAAATCTATAATAACGGAACTTTCTTCGATAGAAACGCGCAAAGCAGCAAAATTTTCATAAGAAAGAATAATTGAAGCAATAAAGAAAAAAGAAAACAATGGAAATAACAATACAACCTCCGAAGCTGACGTTTTCATGGGGTACCAGCTCAGGAAGTAATGAAAACAAAACCTTTTCTATTGAGAGAGCCAGACTAATGTCAAAAAATGCTCTCTCAGTACCCCGAGTTTTTTACAAAAGTCCAGGAAGAATACAAAAATACATAAAATCATGAGAATATAATACAAAAATGAGAATACAAAAATTCACAGTGGACTAGTCAAACAGCAAATTCATGAAACTAACTCAATGTAAAAGAAACATTTGAAATAAAAGAAAACAACGCCCCCTATTAATATGCGCAGTAGGAATATAAAAATTTATTGCTTCAATTAATACAGCTCAGTGAGACTTAAAAAATAAAATATAATTGTCCTTATCACACAATTAAAAACATGCATATTTATTGCCAGCAATCAAGATTTTCGGAAGGGAAAATAATTCTCGTTTTGCTCAAATGAGAAAGAAATTAGCAAAATTTTGTTCTATTATAGGTGTTTAGATTTGAATTACACCATGTAAGTCGTATATGAACGCGTGATTTAGTGGTAACCTTGAATAAAGTGCTCCGTTCACACAATTTTTTCGATTGTTCAAAATTATATTCGGAGAGAAATTACACCACAGTTTTTAAGTGCAGAAAAAAGACGTATGGCAACTTAAGATACCATTTTGGAGTAAAAACTTTTAAGATTTTAACTGTTTTCTTGTCAATTTCATACGTATAGAATATTTTTTCAAGTCAATGGGCCATCGGACTTTAATTGTTATATTTAAAATAGATTATTTATGCAGCTGGTAACATGGTAAACAACAATTTTGAAAATATGTTGATACAGTCAAATTTTTTAAATTTCTATTTTTTTAAGTTAAACTATTCCTTTTTTGGTTTATTCTTTTTGCATTATTTTGTTAGATGATAAAACAATAGAAACATACAAAAATATTGATTATTACTCAATATTAAGCAGAAATACTAGCAATACTCCTTAAGTGGGCGGGTTTATTTGATTCTCCCCTACGTAAAATAAATTTTACACATCATTTTTGAAGTTTGGAATGTTAAAATAACTTTTATCGCATGCACCTAATGATGATTTTAGACACATCCAGCTATGGTAGTAAGAATTATATTTTTCTCAATAATCCAGTACTAAAATAAAAATTATTCCTAGAAAATTTCACAAATTGAAAAAAAGTACTCCATACACAAAAAGAGAAGCTAGACTGCGAAAAAATTCAGTTTTTGAGTAAATATACTTTAAGATTGTATGTGTATAGGTGCATTTTGCAGAAACGAATGTATTTTTGTGCACACTACATTAATTAAATAAAAGAATAATGCATGAGATGTACGTAAAATATACTATTATTAAGTTTTGAGAAAGGCAACTCAAGTTTAAACTCTAGTTATGATTTCTCGAATCATATTTTGCTTATGAATATAGTGACAAAATGCTCCCGATCAAAATTAATTATTAATCGTTAAGATGATGGAGAAAAATATTATATTACTACCATATTTATTACTATTAATTGTTACTGGTGTTATAACTATTATATGCATACAATCTCAATAAAAGAGCAAATTCAATTAAGATTCATATTACACTCAGAGAGTTTTATGTCAAGCATATATCTAGATAGAGATAAAGCACAATGTTAAAAAAAAATTTAATGAAAAACGAAATGTGTAAAATTCAAAAAGACTGTATTCTTATAACTGTACTCACTAACTTAAAATGAACGAATGAAAATCATTCAACTATTTCACTCTTTCATCTAAAATAAAGGAGCCTTCTCACCTTGAGTGAAATATACTCGAGTGATTTTCAGTATTAACTTGAGTAGATCCTTTTCACTCAAACTGGAGTGATTTTCAATCGTGTTTGAGTGATTTTATGTATCACTTAACTGGGTCCTTTTAACTTGAATTTGCGTGAATTTCAATCATTTTTCACTCATAATTAGCATCGTTCAAGTGAATATATTTTAATCATACTATCAATATTTATTCTTTTTACTTGAATGTCATTTAAATCATATTTAAATTAAATTAATCCTTTTCA